ACCTTCGCTCTGATTGTAGTGACTCCTCAGAGTCTCCAGGTTTTGTCTGAACCACTCCTCATGTCCACGTGCCATCTGGGTCTCTCTCTCCCAGTACTGGGGATCCTCCTTCCCCACATACTTTTCAATCCAGGAGACTCGAGGCTTCATCCTCCGGCTGTGGCTGTCGTATTGAACAAAGACCTGACCGTCCACGTACCCCACAGAAACAACCTGGAGCATCCCCTGACTGGGGTCCGAGATGGAGGTGAAGAAATACTTCAGGGAATGGGAGGAGGCGCCTGGAAGGGACCCAGAGGGGTAGAGTTAGGGGGCTTTGGTCAAGGGCCCTGATCCCACGGAGGCTCCCACCTGAGGCTCTGGGGAGAAGGAAGGAAGGAAGGAAGAGGAAGAAGAGATGGGGGGGGCAGAGGAGGAAGGGGGAAGGAAGGGGGAGATGGTGGGAGAGGAGGCAGGAGGTGGAATGTGGGAGTGACCCAGAGGGAAAGAAGCAGCTTCTGAAGGGCCTGAAGGGTTGGAGGGCAGGGAAGGTCTTCACCTGCCCTCAATTGTGCCCTCCCCTCTTCCATCAAGGCCTCCCTCAAACCCCCTTCTGGGCTGCTCAGTCTCTGCCCCAAGGAGGCTACAGTGACCCCGCAGGGAAAAGGGGGGATTCCCCCCCAGGAGCTCAAAAGCAGCAGGAAACCCCACCTGGACACCCCAAATTTCCATTCACAGGGGGAAAAAAGTCTAAGGGCCAAAGTGGATGGTTTATAGCTGCAGATATTAGGGGAGATTTTATAAAACAGGGGAGGGGAAGGTAGAGCCATGGGATCCTTAGGCGAAACCCCTGAAACCATCATCCACGGATGCTTTCCATTGGAGCAGATTTCCTCTGAATCTCACCCTTCACTTTCTGCAGAAGCTGCTCTGAAACTGTTAGATCGGGTAGATCGGTCCCAATGAGAGACGCGAGACTAGTGTACTTCAAGCTCTTATTTTATTGTATAGTTCTGTACAGGACCTTGGAGCCGTGGCAGCCCTTCATATAGGGACTGCTCGCAGCTTGCCAGCCAATGGCAGGGCTCTGAATCTCCCGCGATCGGCTCGGCCAATCGCGGTTGATTCTTAGAAAGCCAATCACGGCCGTTCAGTAGACCAATCGGAAAGCGGCCCATGTGGGCCAATCAGATTTCATCTTTTGGAGTATGTTAATATAGAACACCCCTCCCCTCTTGGTTCAGTCCTACGCAACGTGGTCACTTAGTCGTGCAAATAGGCGGGGCTTCGTACTTGCCTATTTGACCTGCGCGGTTCAGTTGATGTTTGGTCTTCAGCCGGTTTGGACGGACTCCTTGTTGCTCTCATCCCTCCTGATGGAACCGCCTGGAACGATGAGCCAGCTCCCTCCCGGTCTACCCAGGCTGGTTGAGCTGCCGGTTCCACTGTTCCCGCCTGGTCTTTCCAGGCTGATTGAACTGGCTTGGCTGCTCCTTCCAGGTGAAGCTCCGGGTTGTTCGTCTGCTGCTGGTTCATCATCTCCTGGTGAGTTTTGCTGGTTTATTTTGGCTTAGGGGTGTTCGGTTTGTGTTTTAGGATTTTCTTTTCCTGTTTGTTTATTGCTTGAGGTCCCCCCCCCCGGTTTCTTTATTAGTGACTTTTTGTGGTGTTTGCGAGTTGTCTTCGTTGTCGGTGGCTATTCTTGACCTTAATTGGTCGATGTGCCATTTCCAACTTCGTCCATCGTCCGTTTGTAGGCGGTATGATCGGGGGCCTGTTACCTGGGTTATTTTTGCAGGTACCCAGAGTGGGTCCCCCGTGAAATTTTTAGCGTAGACTGTGTCTCCTGTGTTAAATGTTTGGTGTTTGCTTGATGAGTCTGGGGGTTTCTCGGGGTTGTATGTGGGGTGCAGTCTATCTAATTGGGATCGTAATTTTCTGCCCATGAGAAGTTCTGCTGGGCTTTTGTTGGTCGTTGTGTTGGGTGTTATGTGTTGTATTAATAGCATTTTATTTATTTTTTCCTGCATGTCCCCGGTTTCGATTTTCTGTATGGCATTTTTTGTGTAACGAACCATGCGTTCTGCCTGCCTGTTCACTGCCGGATGAGCGGGCGCTGTCAATGCATGGCGTATGCCCCGTTCTGCCAGGAATTTTTCAAATGCCAGTGCGGTAAATTGTGGCCCGTTGTCTGATACCAGCACGTCTGGTAGGCCATGGGTGGTGAATAGTTTGTTTAGCTTTTTGATAACGGCCTCCGTGGTGGTGGATTTCATGGCGCTTACCTCCAGCCAGTTGGAGTAAGCGTCGACTGTTATCAGGAATGTGTGTCCCTTGGTAGGTCCGGCGAAGTCTATATGGATCCTGGACAATGGTCCCCTGGGGGTTTCCCATTCCAGGATTGGAGCGGAGGGAGGGCTTGGCCTGGTTTCCTGGCACCTCCCGCATGAGGCCACCAAAGTCTCGATTTGTTTGTCCATCCCTGGCCACCAGGCGTAACTCCTGGCCAGGGCTTTCATCTTAACTATGCCCGGGTGCCCCTCATGCAACATAGATAACACCCTCTTTTGTAGCGTTTCAGGGATCACAACCCTGTCCCCCCAAAGTATGCAACCCTTCTGTGTAAACAGTTCGGTCTGTTGGTTCCGAAAAGTTTTAAATTGCTCACTGCCATTGGTTTCCGGTCACCCTTTCTCCACCCAATTCAAGACTCGCGCCAGCCGTTTGTCTTTATTGGTTTCTCGGGCAATGTCTGACGCGGTCAGGGGTGGATTGGGTAGAGTCTCTATGTGCAGGGTAGATGTGGTGGGTGCCGGGTCGTCCTCCAGGTCGGGCAGGGGGGTTCGGCTCAATGCGTCTGCATGCGTGATGGTCTTTCCGGGTCGGTGTGTCAGCTGGTAGCTGTAGGCGGCAAGGAACTCGGACCACCTCATCATCCTTGGCAACAGGATGTTTGGGGTGGCCTTGTTCCCTGCCAGTATCCCCAGCAACGGCTTGTGGTCTGTGATAATTGAAAATGTCGTAGAGGTATTCATGGAATCTTTTTACGCCGCTCATGACTGCTAAGGCTTCCTTATCCAGTTGACTGTAGTTCCTTTCTGGTTTAGACAGTGTTCGTGAGTAGAAGGCAATTGGTGCTTCTCTCCCATCTGGCAGCGTGTGACTGAGGATTGCTCCGACGCCAAAGGGTGATGCGTCGCAGGTCACGGTCAATGGCAAGGTCTCGCTGTACTGGATGAGAACTGCGTCGGATGTTAGCAGATTTTTTATTTGTTTGAATGCGTTTTCCTCCCGCTTCCCCCAGGTCCAGGTAGCCGTTTTGTCTAGGAGCCTATGCAGGGGTTCCGCTGTGGTCGCCTTTTGGGGTAGGAAAACATTGTAAAAATTGATAAGTCCCAGAAATGCCCGCAGTTCAGTTTTATTTTGTGGTCTAGGGGCTTCTTTGATGGCCTTAATCTTTTTTTCCGAGGGGTGGATCCCGTCTTTGTCTAGGAGATAACCCAGGAACTCAACTTTCTCTGTGTAAAGCTGGCATTTTTCTTTTTTCACTTTCAGCCCAGTGTCTTTGAATTTTTGTAAGACCTCCCTTAACCGGCTCTCCAATTGCTTTTCATTGGTGGCTGACACTAGCACATCGTCGAAATAGGGCACCACCCCTTTTATCCCCTGAAGTAGTCTTTCCATCAGGCTCTGGAATACCCCGGGTGCCACGCTGACTCCAAACTGGAGTCTTTTGCATAAAAATGCCCCCCGGTGGGTTACTATGGTTTGCGCCTCTGCTGTCTCCACGTCGACTGGCAGCTGCTGGTACGCCTGTGCCAGATAGAGTTTTGCGAAGACTCTGCTTCCCCCCAGTGAGTGCAGAAGGTGTTGTACCACTGGGATGGGGTAAGCACTTTGTTGCAGGGCATTATTGAGCGTGGCCTTGTAGTCACCACAGATCCTCACTGACCCATCCGGCTTGATCGGGGTGACTATGGGGGTTTCCCACCGGGCATGGTCAATCGGTTCTAAGACCCCTTGCGCGATGAACTTGTCTAACTGCTCATCGATTTTGGGTTTGAGCGCGAATGGCACCCTTCGTGGCTTAAGGCGGATTGGGGCAATGTTCGGGTTTAGATTGAAGGATATTGGGGACCCCCGGTACTTGCCTAGGTCGCCGTTGAACACCTCCTGGAAGTCCCTCACGAGCGTTGCTTCCCAGTCCGCCTCGGCGATGTGGTTTATGCCCGTCACCTGGATTCCCAATGGCGCGAACCATTGCAGTCCCAGTAGGCTTGGGCGGTCTTTGTCCACGATGGTGAGCAGAAGCACCTCTGTGTGGCCCTTGAACGTTATTTTAAAGTGTCCAATCCCGGCTACGGGGATGCGGTTGCCCTGGTAGTCCCTCAGGGTCAGCTTTTGGCTTTCTAGCTCGTGCCGGTGGATGGTAGGCACCAGGCACTTGATGGTGTGCCAGGAGACCTTGGAGAGGTATGATCCTGAATCTACCTCCATTTTGCATGGTTGGTTTTCGATGCCTACCTCCACGTGCACTTTCCAGGCATCGCAGGTAGTCGAGTGTCTGATGACGACCGTCTGGTGGGTCTCTTCTTTTCGCCTAGCCTCACTGAACCGCTGGCTCCTCCCGTCCCAGCTCCACCGGCTCTTGGCATGTTGGTCTCGGTTCCTGGGGGGGGGGTGCCGTCTCGTCGCCAGAGGCTGCCGTCTCGTCGCCAGGGGCTGCCGTCTCGCCGCCGGGGGCTGGGGTTTCTCCTATTCCTGCACACCTTAGCGATGTGCCCCCTTTTGTCGCAATGCCGACAAACGGCGTCAAGGAATCGGCACTCTGACCGGGGGTTATCACCCCCACACCCGGCGCACTGGAACCCCGACTTACGATTCCGCTGCTCCCGCCGGTCTCGTTCCGCTTGCAGGCGGTGGATTTCCTTCTCCTCGTCCTCGGTGTCGGAGACAGAGTCGAGGTTCCCGTGGTGCATGGTGGTGATCTTGGGGGTGGCTTCCGGGCGTCTTTTGGACGTCGGTGCCGTCTCCCCGGTTGCGGATCGGCTGGTTGCATTCATCTGCCGCATCCGGGCTGCAGACTGTTTGTTGGCT